AATCAATTGGATTAACATTCATCAGACCCACAATTTTAGAAGAAAACCCTAACTCAAATTGGGGAATTTCTACTTTCAATTAGGGAATCTTAGGGGCTCCATGGATGAAAAGCCATTATACCGTACTATCAAAGCCCACAATTTCTTCAGGAATGGAGACTTGACCTTGACCCTAGCTTCAACTCTTTCTTCTTCTTCAAGTTCTAGAGAGAAATATTTTGAGAGGAAGAACTTTGGTTTTTCTTTTGGGTTTTGAGAGAATGACTTGAATGGGTGAGTTTTGGGGGTTAAAATCACTTATATAGGGGTCCTAGGCTTGGGTAAAAAACGACATAGCTTTGATTCAATTAATTTTGGAAAAGATCCATATACCCCTGAACTTAAAAGTTGCCGAACCACTTCACGAGGGGCACCATGGCCCGTTATGGTGGTTGTGGTCTTTGACCAGTAGCCTGGTTTGCCACCCCTTAACTCTCTCTCCCTTCATGACCCTCTCCACGGTCCGTAGTGGCCTTCACGAGCCGTCAAGTGGCTTGTGGGAGGGTCTCTCCTTTAGGCAGCCTTTTGCTAGCTACTGCCTAGCCCTTCATGGGCACCACCACGAGCCGTGGTGCCCTTCACGGGGCGTGATGATGCTCGTGGGAGGTGAGCACCACTTGGTTAGCTACTGTGAGCCACCACGAGCAGCACCACGCCTCGTGGTGCCATTCACGACCTGTATGGGTCCTCGTGAAGGTTGCCCAGGCCAATTTCTTTGGCTCATGACCTCGTGAGGTGTTACAGTTCATTTCCTTAGGCCCTTAAGATAATAATATATTTTTGATGATTTGCTGGATAAATATGAAAGCTTGAGGTGTAGTTAATAGAAAACAAACATAAGTTGATGTTGCTTCATGCTGTTTGTTTTCTGATTTGTAGTTGTGAAAGATTTGATGGTTTAGGTGATGGTGGAGGAGAAAGGTCTTAACTTTGGTGACGGTGCTTGTGGCGAGTCCTGGTGGTTGTTGCATGGTGCTAGACTGCTGGTCTCGGAGGAAGAAAACAAAACAAAAGAAGAGATGGTGAAAAAGTAAAGAAGACAGTAAGAAAATAATCTAATAAAAGATGTTAAAAAAAGTTTTTGATATATTTTTTGGCTACTCTCTTTGAGAGTGTAATGTAGTCTCTTCGCCACATAAGCATTGGGGGATAGGATTTCGCTTCAAGATAAGCCCAAGGGAGTAACAGGAGATTCACAAAGTATAGGACTGTGCAACTCAGAATCCAGGGATAGTTTCTTTTTTTTAATCAGATAATTTAGGGGTATTTTATGCCTTTTCCCATCTCAAATCAACTTCTGCACCCATTAATTTCCAATTTCTTTTGATGCTTTGATATGACATATTCCCCCTCACCCCCTCCCTTTCTTTGATTATACATGTACTAAACCCCATTACATTATGGAAATTTCTGTAATACCTCAACTCTCATGCAACCAAATTTCCTTGAAATTCTAAGGCTACTTACATGCATTGAATGTATTCTGTGGTTTGTGCAGAACGGACCGGTAGAGATGGCCAATGTACACTGTTTTTTGTTGTTGTTACTGCTCATGATGGGCAAAGATAATACAGGAGGAAGATGAAACTTTAATTTGCATAATCTACATCAATGTAATCTTCTGATTAAATTTGTGCTGCTAATAGCTTTTACGTACATTTTTTTATCCTAAATTTTGCTCAACTAAATGCTGATGTGAAGATTGGTTGATTGTTTATTTCTGCAGATTTTTATGCCACTCTTAATTTGAATTTGGCGCAGTGGGCTGCCTTTTCTACTCTTATCAAGTTTTTTTTTTTGGGTTCCTTGAGTGACAAAATGTTAATTTTCTTTTTTGGTTTGCGGGGCAGGTGTAGGTTTTTGGTTCTTGTTGGAAGAATCCGTTTAGTATTGTTATATCTTTGCGCAATAGTTTGTTCAGATGAAAACCTGTTCTAATTTATCTTTAGAAGAATCAAAAGTGTCTTTCCAGTGTACGTCTGAATGTCACTAATTGAAATACGATGAAAGTGGATTTTCAAGTAATATTTTGCAACCATTTTGAAATAGGAAGAATTGAAGAGTCCTGATATATCTTGTTCAGTTTCACAGGAAAACAAAGGAAATAATAGATACTTTTATTTAACTTTCTTGATCCGAAGAGTGTTACAATGATTTTTTGCTTGAGGACAATTCTGTGGAAAAAAAAATAGTGATAGACAATGCAATTTCAAAATGTTAAACAATGTAACTATTATGTGAAGAAGTAATGAAGTAGTGTGGGTTTCAATCATGTCACTTTGCCAAGAGCATCATTGGCAACTGGCAAGTGACTGGTTGGTTCACTTCAGGTTGGGTGTTAGTTCAAACAAGTAATGATTAGTGCCAATTGGCTGTCTTTTTCTCAGAATTGGCAAAGTGGGAATCAAAACCAGGTCTGCTTTCTGTGTTGTGCACATGTTACATACCAACCAATCTAAATGTAGTTAAAAGAAGGAGTCCAGATGCTTGGTATCCAGAAGAGGGCCAGGCCACATTAGGTCTATAGGATGCAACCTCTTGGCCACACAACAACAACTCTTACTATTGCACTTAACCTCCCCTTAAAATGTAGAGTATAGATCAAATTTCTCAACGGTAAGCACACATGTATCAGTCCGTCTGAGGACTACAAAGAGCTGCCTCCGTGTCTACTGAAGGAAATGCAAGATTACATAGATTAGTATCATAAGATTGATTCGTTGGACAAAATTGCAAGCACAAGATATCACCATATCAGATCTTACCTACATGTTCCTTTACTCAGATATTTACATCAACAGTATGGAGTTTTATCTCCTAAAGTTGCATCAGAATTAACCCTTCTGCCTCAAATGACGTGTGATACAATCATATGCCAATTAGACACACAAATGTTGGTAAAACTTAGCCAGATAAAACATAGTAAAATTTATGAAAAGGATAGTTTACCATTTCACACAACACTGTAAGCAAATAAGTGAATAAACTTAGCACAAATGTAGCAAAACGTACATTTCAGTGCTCAATAAAACCATAAAAGGTACATGACACAGCATATGATATCAATAACTATAATTATTTACAGAAAGAGGACTATCAAATGTGTATCGCTATAAAGTCGAAGACACTTAGCTAACTGTTAAATGAAACGGAAGCACTTTGTGCATTCTTAGAAGTATATGCCCCAAACTAAAACATAAGCAGATGCCCATCAACATGCATGACACGGGCTGATTTAAAGCGCATAGTTAGCCAGCCAGCAACTGGCATTTCATCTCTAGAAGCAAGACTGGCTTGATCAAACAACTCAGGGTGAGCTAGCTCAACAAAATTCTCTTTTCCGCTCCTTTTCAGTATGAGTTAATCCACCTTTCTTAGTTTTCCCTGAAAATGATGATAATATTGTGTATAACATAGATGCATATACTGACAACTTTGGATATACGCTTCATATTAGTTCTGATGCAAAACACGTAAAGAAAGCGGAGGAAGCCAAAAGAAGCAGCTGCTTTATGCCTTTCTCGGCCAAAAGGTTAAGATAAAGCGAAGAAGTAGCTGTTTTATGTAAACGAAAAACCAGCCAATCAAAACTTAGCAAACACTAGCACATTTGTTGGTTGAAAATGGTATTTACACAAACTTTGTTCCACCTTATGGTAATGAATAATCTTGCAACCAATGTACAATATCAAATAAAAACCATCATGAACTAGAACAACATAGAATAATGATTATAGGCACTCCCAGTTATTCTTTTAGTAATGAATCAATACACAAGAGTCTTTTTTTTAACAAGAAAAAATAGATAAATTTGACATGCTAGCTCCTCAGCATATTTACGTGATCTCAAGAGGAATTTAAAGACTGGTGCGATTATGTATACAAATGCAACCCAATAAAAAGAAAGCATGATACGAACAAGCTTAAAATGCAAGTTCAGCTCCCTAAGTTCCGCACCTAGAAATTAGGAAATGTGCTGACACCGGTGCCTTCTCGTTTAAGGATCTAAAAATAAAGGAAGTGAAGACAAGGGGGCACATTTTGATGAAAATGACCGGCTTACTGATAAATAACCGACATTAACAATGTCTTCAGAATTGACCAAGAAAAACTCATCTCAGATCTTTTAAAAATTCCTGAGGCTAACGATGCATAGTTTGAAACTCTGTGATTATCACGGGTCTGCTCCTCTTCACCCAACTCATCTCAGATTCATACCAGTATATTTTCAAAATAAATCAAGAAACTCCCTAGGAATTGCATGTCAATTAGACTTTCAATTCCTAGATTCTACGAAAAAAAGAAGGGAAAATGCACAAGTACCCCCAACCTATGCCCGAAATCTCAGAGACACACTTATACTATACTAAGGTCCTATTACCAAAGAACTTATTTTATAAATAATTTTCTACCCCTTTTCGGCCTACGTGGCACTATATTTTTTGGGTCCAACGCGTGTTGACAATTTTTTAAAGCGATCTGGTTGATAGTGTCACGTAGGCCGAAAAGGGATAGAAAATTATTTATAAAATAAGTTCGGGGTAATAGGCCCTTAGTATAGTATAAATGTGTCTCTGAGATTTCAGGCATAGGTGGGGAGTACTTATGCATTTTCCCAAAAAAAAATATGCAATAGAATTCTGCAACACACTTAGATCAGTTGATCAAATTAAACACTAGATGAAAACAACAAAAACCACAGAACCAAACAGTATCTATCAATGTATATGTGTGTGTGCAGAGAGATCAAATAAACTCGATAACCTATATCTCTGAAAGGACAATAAACGGGACGGAAGATCAAGAGCTCATAGTCATAATGACACATAAAATTGTAATCGGGACAAACTTCTTCAATCTTCTAGCATTATTCCTACAAATTTGACCCAAAACCATATATATATATATATATATATATATATATAGGACAAGAAATTACCTCTTGTCATCAATTCAAGGAACTCCCTTGACCACTTTAATTCTATTCAGAACGAGTTCATCTCCAAACAATAAGTCCTCCTCTTAACTAACATCCTTGCAGCCGTCCCATAGGGCTCCTCAAATGCTGCTGCCACCCAATTCCCATCTGGCCCAACCACCTCTTTCTTAGGTTGCTCACTAGGCCTAATTGCTACCAATGTCGCCCCTTTAAGCACTGTCCCATCAGGTAACTCTAAATGTGGGGCGTACCACAGCCTCATGTTCAGTGCTGGCACCATTGTCCTTTTCGAGGCCGATGAAGCTGAAAGAGGCTTCATTCTCAACTCCTCCAGCTGCTCCCTGTTCATACACAATACTCCTTGCCCATCAACATCCGTCAAAACCAAACTCTCAAGCTTCTTATGCTCTGCTATAATTGGCTGCAGCAGATAATGCCTTGCAGAAGCTGCTATCAAAGAACTAATCGTCCACACAACTCGCAACTTCAAACCCCCATTAGTGTAAAACGACTCAGGTATGCTCCCATTATCTGTTTCTCCATTACCATCACCCAAACTATTACTGTTACTTCCAATTCCACACTGTTCCTCGACTAAATCACCAATACTTACCGGTTGAATCACCGAAGACGCCCCAAGAATAACACAATTATCAAGAGTAGAACCAAAATCAGCTCTCCACTTGAGCAAAGCACCTTCATCAATACCCAATTCCCCACTAGGCAACTCAATCCTAAGCAACTTAATTTCATCAAAATTCTTCAAAACCTGTGTAGGGGAGTGATGGGTAACAGAATTTTGCTCAAAATCATCATCAACAAGAGAGGATGAAGCAGTACATCGCCTTGAAGAAATGGAGATCAACTGAGTAAGGGATTGAAAGGGTTTAACAAGACCAAGGAATACAAGTCGAAAAAGGGAAGAAATGGGGTGACGTGACTTATCAGAAGAGGCAGCAGAAGATGAAGAAGAAGAAGAAGATGACGACGATGCATCATCATCATCAGAGATAACACAATCAACACGAACAACAACGTTATCAACTTGAGGAACAAGTGAATGAAACCTGCTACAAACTCCACAACATCTTCCTAGAGTTTTAACATCACCGATCTTGTTGAAAATCAAGAGAAGAACTGGATCAGGTAGCTGGTCGAAGTGGTCAACAGGTTCTGGGTAGATCGTTGACCTCAGATCTGACTTGGATGAACCCATATTCAAGAACTTTCTGATAAACCAAAGACTCTTTGTGAGAAGTAGAAGGGAAGAAGGAAGAAGAAGAAACAGAGTTGTTTGTGTGTTACAGAGAGAAAGAGAGTGAAATGAGAGATGGGTAGAGAAGAAACAAGGATACCATGGGAGTTTGGGGATAAAGTCTCTATATTGCTTTTTTTTCTTCCTTCAACATATATAACTTAATACATTTTAATACAAGATAATAATACTCCCTCTGTTTCAAAAAAATGTTCTAGTTTGACTTGGAACAGAGTTTAAGAAAAAATGTTCTAATTAATTGAAGGTATAATATGTACTTGTCAAAATGAACAAGTAATTAGGAACAATTAAAAAAGAAAAAATGGACAAGTAATTAGGGACAGAGAGTATTTTATAAGGAGTGAATTTGTGAGTTGCACGCATAATTTATATCATAAATACATGTCCACGGTTGAGTTTGCACATTTCTTAAAAAATTATAAATAAAAAGATAATTTTATTATATCACCCTTTGAATATAATAAATAAATTTCTTTAAAAATGCAATAAAGAAATCACTATAATTAATGATAAAAGTAAATTAGGAACTAAGAGTAAAATTATACATCAATTTCATAAAGTGGACAAATATTATCGGACATTCCAAAACAATGTAGTGGACAACTATTGTTACAAAGAGGGAATATTTTTCATTATTGTTTTTTGTGAAATCATAAAGGCAAACTATCTCCAAGAAAATATAAAACTTCATTATAGGAAAGTCCAAATATATATAAAAAAATTATTATCAAACGTTCATCTTGAACTTTGAACAATTTAAATTTTAAACAACGAAAAAACTCCAAAAATTCAGTAAATATGAAATAGAGAGAGTATTATATTATCATCATACCGAATTAATTTGGTACGTTTTGATATTTATAAGTTTGATTTTGATATTTCACATATGATAAATCAATAATCATAGTTTGGTTGAGCTCGTACATTATATTAGACTAACACCTTATACATTTAGAAATATTCAAAAAAATATATATAATATATTTTTCTTTGATTAATCAATTACACAAAAATGACATTTCAATATGATGAAATAATTGACATTTCAAATTCTAAAATTATAGTTTGACATATGTAGCTTCACTGGAACTCAAAGACACCTTTGTGGATCAAGTGATACTTCGAAAGAAATTAAATCCTCATTTCTTGATTTTAAAAGAAAAAAAATATATTATGTTTAACCAGTTAGGTGGAAAGAATTTAGAACATACTCAATTCTTGATTTCAATATTATTTTATAAATATCAAATATTGAAATTAATTAGCAATACGTATCATATACCGCAGAATTAAAATTACGATATAAATTTTTTTCATTCTAATATGATATTTCGATATATGTCGTATTATGTCTATTCCTAATGTGAAATAACAAAATTAGAGAACAAATTTATTTTTTTAAAAGATGCTACAAAAAGAAAAAATAAAACAAATAAATTGAAATAATGGAGTAATATACTTTTTTTTTGTCCATGCTTTATATATTTAATTAAAGATACGATATATAAGGTATAATATGAGACGTGTGTTTGGTTTTATTTATATAACATATAAATTTGAATATATTTTTATTTTCAATTTTAATACTGATCTTCAAAAAGACTTTGGAAGAAGAATTTTGGGAAGGATACCTTTTGATATTTGGTCGTTTTAGGTAGAGATTAACTGTTCTAAATTTGTTATTCCATATCTAATGTGCTACAAAAATAAGTATAACTTATATAAATTTCATAGTGTAAAGAGTAAATTCCATTCTTACACTTTTTCTAATTATAATAATCTCTTAAATATGTACCTTTTGGGTACATAATTCACCGTCCAAATACATTAATTCTAATGCAAGAAAAATCCTTTTTGTTGTGCTAAAAAGGGAATAAAATCTAAAAATCTAATTAAATTCAATAAATTACGCTTACGTTTCTTCTTACTTTCAATCATACAGAGACAAATTCAGAACGAAGAAATTCAAAATTTCAAATTGCTCCTCCCTATTTAGCGCGAAGAAACCTTTCAGATTTGATTCAAAAAAATTTGTCAAAATTTTGGGTTAGAGAGGTGAGTTATGAAGGATACAAAAGTGATGAAATTGTTGTTGGACAAACGATTTCCTTTTGAATCTTCAAGTTCATCGAAAATCCTTTCAATTTTGATTCAAGTTATTTGGATTTGCTATGTATACCCTCTGTTTTTTAATTTTTTATTCAAGTTTGACTAATAAGAATTTTTTCGAACAATCTGAAGGTCAAGTGCCTATTTCGGGTATATGTGTGTGCATATTGAGCTTGGAATTTTTTTTCTTTGATTATAACTGATATGCCTCAATGCTGAATAATTTGGGATAATGTATTTTAGTTTTTTTCCATCTATGAGATTTAGAAGAATGGATAGAGATATTATAGCTACTGGAGGAAGGGAAAATGGTCTAAATTTGAGATAAGAGTACGAAGTATTGGGTGTTGTTGGACAAACAATTTCTTTTTGAATCTTCAAGTCATGGAAGATTCTTTCAATTTTGATTCAAGTTATTTGGATTTGCTATGTATACCCTCTGTTTTTTAATTTTTGAATTTGTATATTGATAAATAAGTCGTGATACATTACTAGTTTGATGTATATGTAATGTGTTTTTAGATCCCAAAATTATTTTTTCTATTCTCTACTAGATACATTAAATAAGAAATTGTTGCTCATAAGATGTTAGGTTTGAGATCGATACATTACTGTTTGATAATTATTATATATCAGATACATTTAGTCTAAATTCAAATTTATGTATCATGCCTAAAAAAAAATTAGTGCATGATACATTATTATTTATGTAACTTATTTTGTTTGAGAGCAGAATCCATATATATCAGGAATTTGTAGATGAAAAGGCTGATACATAATAAATGATACATTTGGTAGAATTTTTGTATCAATTATCAATACTAATTAAGGTTATGTATCAAAACTAATATTTGAACACGATACATTGTGCATGATAGAATTGTAATGTATCATAATGTTGAAATGAAAGCAATATACATTAGTTTAAGAAACAAAATCAACTAGATACATTAAAAATATGAACGTATATGTATCAGAAAAGATGAACACCAAAAAATCAAAAAAAAGGTCAACAATCTAATCAACGGAAAGCAACAAAGATGTATCATTTTTGGACTAATTGGGTAAGCCCAATACTGAAAGATCGAACCAATGGAATGAAGTGTATCAAAACCGCCACTAGAAATTTCTAGAACAATTTCAAATGCACTCCAAGATGAACCTATGCATTAGCAATATTTTCCACCCCTCTTCCAGTAAAGAGACCAGGAGTAACAAATTCAATAATTTTAAGATGAAAAAACAAACAAAAAAAAAACAAAATGAAAATTGAAGTGATGGAAAGAAATCTACCTCTTGAATAACTTGAAATCATTAATCGGAAAGAGAAAAGATTTGAAATTCAAAAAATGGATCAATGTAAGTAACTGTAGCGAGATTTATGGCTTGAAAAAAAAGGAAAGAAAATCATGGGAATGAGATTTCAAATTAATGTATCCGGAAAAGGGAATGATGGGAGCAAAAGAGGGAATTTTGATATTTTTTGAAATGATAGGGAAAATAAGAAAATATGATAATAAATGGTGTATAGTTAGATAATTTTTCCTAAAAATAATATAAAAACTATCACGTAACTAATTAATCTCTAAATTACTTATATCAAACATAAAACTTTAACCCATCACAAAATAAATAATTTTCTATTTTTATCTCAATATTGTTAACTTGAATAATTTATTTTTGAGCTGAGCATGTAACATAAACAATTTTTCTATCATCATAAATGATAAATCTATTTACATAATTTTTCTAAAATTCACTTATGAGATCATACCGAATATGTTATTATTAATAATACATTCTTAAACCAGACAAACCCTTAAAAGTTGATTAATTTCATATAGAAACAAATTCCTTTTAAACATGGATAATATATACTTTTATATCAATTAATCGTTTATTAAATAATATAATTTCTCTATTTTAGTATTTGTGATGTTTAAAATTAAATTATTTAGTTTGTTGTGTCAACGTTAAGTTGAGGTAATTAAGTATTTTCGATAAATGACTTGTAGTAAAAAACCACTAATGACATGCAAAATCTTTATATATATATATATATATATATGTAATTTGGAAGGAAAAAATGGGGGTTCATGTGGGGACAATGGTTAGTGATAGGTATATTTTCATTGTCTGTTGTATGCCTGCTTTCCACCACAACCCCTCTAAAAAGAAGAAATGTGTGTTTCCTTTTACAACTACTTGCTTCTAATTTTTTTTGCCTTTTATAATATTTTCTCAATAAATTGGTAGCATATGATAAAGAGTATGAAAATTTTAAATATATATAGTTTAGAAATAAAAGAAAATCCTATTATTTATAGGCAACAAAAGGTAAGTATGAACATATGTTTATTCATGTGTCTTGTAAAAAAACACATAATCTTCTAGAAAATTCGCAAACCTTTGAAAAAGTTACAATCCTTCAGAAAAGTCATAATTTATCAGAAAAGTTGCAATGCTTCGAAAGAGTCAAAACTCATCGGAAAGTTCACAACTTATCAGAAAAATTACAACCCTTCAATGTGAAAAGGTGTCTACTTTTAATATAAATAAATAAATAAATAAAAATATAAAATATAGAAGATATACTAAACTCAGTGTTGTTAGTGGGGGTATTATAGTAATTTAATATTCAAGTTAGGAGTATTTTTAATTGGAGGTAGTATAGTAATATAACATTTAGGTTAGAGAATTCATGATTTTAATATAGTATATATATATATAACAAAAGTTCTTATAATTATTTGATTGACTCATGAACGTTTTACAAAATAATTGTTACACTAGCTGTGTTGTATGGAGCAAAGTGTTGAGCAATCAATAAAAATCACATTTAAAAGATGAAATTTTGCATGAATGAAAATGCTTACGTGAATGTGTCTAAGAGAGACAAGATTAATAATGAGGATATACGGGCAAGGTGAGATTGATCTTCTTGGTGGACAAGATGCGATATGTGA